ACTCGGAGCCTCTGTGCACCGAGCGAGCGTTCTTGGCTCCAGACCACAACAGTCCATATTGATATGGGCATCGACTATGACAGTTTTCTAGTTCAAGTTTAGGTGTAGAAGTTGAAGGAGGAGGTCAATAGCTTGGAGATCGCCGAAAAAAAAAAAGGCCGTAGAAAACACCATTGTTTGGTAATGTACAGATATACACAGGACCGAACCAAGACACACGCCAGGCGCAACACCGGCTGACACGCCCCGTAGTCCTCGAGTCCACGCCTCGCTCCCTGTCCGCCAGAACCCTATCCACAAAGCACTTGACAGTGCCTTGATCCATTTAACCCAATCTCCTCTGCCTCTTACTCCGAGTACCACCAAACTTGAGCCTCGTCGCATCGGCCACCCGCTTGATCTTGGGCCGCAGCAACTTGCCCTCATTCCCCATCAAGACCTTGACAACCGCTTCTCTCCCAGGCCCAAAGCCACGCAGAACCACCTCGAGGCTCTGGATCTTCTTGACCAAGCCCTTCTGGTGCATCTTGTCGATCACGTAGGCGCCCAGCTGGTATGCCGAGTCGTAGTGCTTTCGCCCGGACTTCTTGAACCCCAGGTTTCCGCACGACAGCGAGATGATGGCGTCACGGTTCGGCTTGGTGAGGGTGATGTGTGTGTTGTGCTTGTGGCTGTAGATGTGGAAGTGGTATGGCTCCGTATTCTCATCTTCTTCCGCCTCGACGGCGAGGTCGTCGGATTCTGGTTCTGTCGGCTTCAGGCTGCCCCGCATGATGTTCTTGATCATCCTCATCGGATTCCCTGCCCCCGGGGCGCCTGGTTGCGGCGAGGACTGCTGGGGGTTGAAGAGGTTCCCGGCGGCGTGTGACTGGGAGAAGAGCCGGGTCCATTGCGGAATGGCCGTGGTCGTCGGGCAGATTGTCCTCGAGAGCGGCCGGGCCAGCTCTGGCGCCAAAAGACGGTTGATGGCGAATCGACCCATCCTCGCCAGGCAATGGCTGCAAGAAACCTCAACGCCGGGAGAGGGGTGGGGTTGCTGTTTAGGTTTGGACTGGAAGGGAGGGCGAGGCACGCGCGAATGTCCAAATCGGCCGTTGCTGCACCGGGGCCATTGGAAATTTTGGGGAGTCGGAACTTGCCGGCGCAGTGCAGGGGCCTGGCCTAAGGGACCCCCGAGCCGGGAATTTGCCGGCTCTTGGCAAAGATTCTGGCGGGCAAAAGAAATCCATCGACTCGGCGTTGCCATCGCGCGCAAAATCCTCTTACACCTCAACTCTTGCGCCGCCGCCGTTCCCCCAACCCTCCCATCATCCATTTCTCATCACCTGCGGCGACTGTTGTCTTTCACAAGGGCGGTTCGGCCTACACAGAATCATGAATTCAGCGCGGCAGATCCAGAGGCTCTCGCCCGGCGCCCCATTGAGGGCATCGGGGCTGCGGAGCTCCCGCTGCACCCCTCCCTCGCAGTACCGTTTCTTGTCCTCGAGGACAACACAGCTCAGCACCTCTGAAAACGCGTCAAGCTCTGCCTACACCATCCTTCAACAGCAACCCCTCCTCCGCTCCACGCTCCCCGTCAGCGCCGTCAGGTTAGACACACTATCACAGCTCAACGCACGCTCGTTCCACGTCTCGGCTCGTACACGGCAGAAGGAAGCCGAAAAGAAGGACGCCAAGGCGCCATCAGAAACAACAGCCGGCGGGGAAGCAAAGGAACCCGAGTCCAAGGAGGAAGCCAAGGAGGAGGCCAAGGAGGAGGCCAAGGAAGAAAAGGAGGGCGAGGAGAAGGCCGAGGGCAAGAAGGAGAAGAAGGAGGATCTGCCCCCTCCGCCGCCCCATGGCGACAAGACCCCGTGGCAGGTTTTCCTGGATACCATGAACACCGAGTTCAAGCAGTCCAAGGAGTGGAACGAGTCGACCAAGGCCCTCGCGTCCTCTGCGAACGACTTTGTCGAAAGCGAGTCCGTCCGGAAGGCGCGTCAAGCCTACGAGGCTACCCACGGCGCTGTTACGTCCACTGCTGCGAAGGCGGTCAAGACGACAGCTGGTGCCATCGGCAAGGGCGCGACGTGGACCTGGGAGACTCCAGTCATGAAGGGCGTGCGGAAGGGCGCGAACAAGACGGGCGAGGTGCTGGACAAGGCGACCAAGCCCATTCGGGAAACTGAGGCGTACAAGAACGTCAAGGATGTTATCGACGACGGGAGCAGCTCCCGGTACGGCGGGTGGGTCGACAAAGCCGAACGCAAGAGGCGAAGGGAGCTGCGGATGAAGCAGAGCGGCGTGGATACCAACATCTATGAGGAGGATCCCAAGTAAGACCCTCGATCTTTGAATAACAGTCACGGGACGCGGCCACTAACCTTTGCAGTGCCGGAACCAACGTCACGGTCCACAAGGATGCCGCGTGGAAGGAGGCGTGGAGGGATTTCAGGGATCAAAACAAGGTCGTTCAAGGCATCTTCGGGATGAAGACCGTATACCAAGAGTCGGAGAACCCCCTGATCTCCACCGCTCGGAGCATCACCGACAGGGTCGCCGGCTTCTTCGCCGAAAACGAGACAGCCATGGTGATCAAGAAGCTCCGCACTATGGATCCGGCATTCAAGCTGGAACCGTTCCTGCAGGAGCTCCGCGAGTACATCCTTCCCGAAGTCCTGGATGCCTACGTCAAGGGCGATATCGAGACGCTGAAGCTGTGGCTGTCCGAGGCCCAGTATTCGGTCTACGAGGCCCTGACCAAGCAGTACCTGCAGAACGGCATGAAGTCCGACGGCAAGATCCTCGACATCCGAGGTGTCGATATTCTCCGCGCGCGCATGCTCGACCCCGGCGAGATCCCCGTCTTCATCGTTACCTGCAGGACGCAGGAGGTTCACGTCTACCGCAACGCCAAGACGGGCAAGCTGGCCGCGGGCATGGAAGACAAGGTCCAGCTTGTCACATACGCCATCGGCATTACCCGCATTGCCGAGGATGTCAACAACCCCGAGACCAGGGGCTGGCGCTTGATTGAGATGCAGAAGAGCGGCCGCGACTACATTTAAACAACCTTGTATTTCTACCGATTCGACGGGACGGGACGCTGCGCGGCTATTAAGGAAGCGGATTCTGATGTGTCTGGTTTCAGCTACCGGTTTTCTTCATTCACTGTGTTCTATTGTCACAACAACTGTATCATACGGCATCGGGGATCTTTGCCGCCCAATATCGCGGGAGTTGGGGGTTTTGACGGGATAGAGCAAGGGGAGCAGGCGCCTTGATGCATTTTCATGATCAACACCACTCTGCTGGGGCCCATTGGAGACGGGCGTGTGTCGCGAAAAGTCTATTTGTACAATATTGTGGGTGCGAAGAAGGATGCCTCAGAGGGAGGCATTCTCAACAACAGCGAAGGCGGTGCAATCTAGGGCCAGAAAATAATAATACCCTTACAACAGTCTGTATGGATGCTGACAATATCGGGCAGCCAAACATATCCAAGAACAGCACCGCATCTTTCTACTCCTGCCCATCCTTCTCCTCCTTCTCTCCCTTCCCCTTCCCCTCCTCCCGCTTCTCTTCGGCTCGATCAGTACCACCACCTTCCCTCCCGCCCCCTCCTGAGCCTCCCTCAACTCCGCCCTCACAGCCATCAACGCGCGGCCCAGCAGATTCAATCCCCACCTCTGCCTCCCACACTCCCGCCTTGGCCGCTCCGAACCCAATCCCCCAGATCCGATCCATCGGGCTCGCCTCCACAATCTCCCTCTCCCCCGTCCGGAGCAGCAACTCCCGCATACTCACCCTTCCCCTTCCACCACCTCCCTCTTCTCCTTCCCCTCTCCCTCGACACTGACAGGGACAGAGACAGGAACAGGGGCAACAATCCACCGCCCGTCGGCCTCGTCGGCGGGGCGCGTGAACTTGAGCAGGTTCCCTTGCGCACGATCGCCTCGCGGTGGTCGTGCCAGACGGCGTCGGAAAGTTGGCGACCTTGCGGCCGAGGGCCTTGACGGCGCGCGGGTGGGAGGCGGCGAGGATCTCGGAGGCGACGGCGGGGTCGGAGAAGAGGAGGGCTTTTTTGATACATCATGTAGCTTTTTTGGGGGAGGGGAGGTTAATGAGTTGGGTGAGTTGGGTTATATAGGACGGGGAGGGGTCGGTAAAAGGGGTCAGGGATCTTGGGTTTAAGGGGGGAAGAAGGGAGGAGGGTGGGTTTACTGTTCAGCGGTTGGGTAGATGATGGATGGGTCGGCGTCGTCGGTAAAGGCGCAGGGGTACCATTGGGAGAGATAGCCTGTCGATGGCTCCGTCTCGCGCCAGAAGTACACTGGGCTGGGGAGCTGGCGTCGGCCATGATGGGGACTTGGGCCTTGGAGGGTGCCGTCTTGGATCTGGTGGATTTGGCCCTTTTGGTCACTTTGTGCTGGGGTTTGGAGCGCTTGGACGGCATTTGGGCAAAATTGACGGGTCACGCTGTTGGACTCGAGAAAGTTGGAAAGGCAAGAAACAAAGAGTTGTTCAATTGATGCCTGTCTTGTATGAATCATATGTATGTGCTGCCCGTTAGTCGTGACTGAGGCTGAGTCGGACTACGGTCTGACTTGGCACCATTGGTTGACACTTCAACGGTGACTCAACCGGCAAAGTTAAGGCGGAAGCCTCCACCCTATGGAAAAGTGAACATCAAGAGGGAGGTGAAGAAAAGCCAATGGTCAAGTACCTATGACATTGACTCGAGCTAATTTTTGGCCTAAGAGCGCAACGTGCCCAAGTCAGTCTGTGTTGTGCTTTGATTTGGCAGTTGTTTGATTGGGTTTCTGTCTGAATGTGTCCGGATACACGAGACCAAGAGGTCAAAGCAGGCAGGCAGGTGGCCCCGCAACTGCGGTGGTTCTCGTGCCAGAATAAGCGAGAGGAGAACAAGACAAAAGAGCCGCATATAGAGAGAGGGTTGTGGTAAAGGAAAGAGGTCAACCCCCAAAAACAAAAGAGACAAGCACCGTTGCTGGTGCTGATGGAGGCACCGCGGATCGAACGCGGGACCGTCTGTAAGATTGCACAAGGAGTATGCAAAACAGAAATCATACCACTAGACCATACCCCCAGAGTATGTTGATTCTGCAGACGTAAGAGTCTGTCATAGACTGAGGGATTTTCGTCTGCACAGTCGGCGGGGAACAAGGTGGGGTGTTGCGTTCATCTCCATCCTCTTGTCTCGACTTGTCCCAGGTCTCGACTCTCAGATGAACGGCCATCGCCATGGCTGGGTGGTAATGCATTCATCATGTTTCCGGGCTTGCACTTGGATTCGGTACGTAACCGATGAGTCGATCAGTCGATGAGGGCGCCCGGTTACACTGCCGCCAGATCGACTCATTTTTTGCCGCCCATGCACACTGTCGTTGGTCAACGCGGCAGCCTGATCAAAGTTGAATGCGCGGATGGATCAATGGGCTCAGCCCGGCAACGCCAGGTCCTTGGAACCACGCATGCAGCTGCAGACCGATGCCGAGCCGACCGCAAGATCGTTTCGATCGGGACGCCTCCTCGTGACTCCAAAGGCAGCGCATCACTTCTCACTTTTTCCGACGACGGAAGCGGTTCCGATCTGAGCTTCGGATCCAGAGGCCGCTGGCTGAGTCCCCGAGTGAGTGACGGAGAATCCGCTCAGAGCCTGGCAGACTCGGCCGGGAAAGGACACAGCGGAGCAGCCCGGCAGCCATCCGGGCCAAGACCCACCAAGGCTGCAAGCCCCCAGAGCCAAATTCAACAAGGCTCAACAAGCGCCTTGTCGGTTTCTGCCCGCAGCCGTGTGTGTGAATGCGGCGAGATGCAGCAAGGTGCATCGCATCGCTAGATCAACTGCAGGTGCGTCCCCGGCGTGGTTGCCGTGTGGTTGTTGGCAGCAGATCAATGCTTGGCCGCCGCCATGATCAGAACTGTTTTAGGAAGAACCTGCTGCTTCAGGCTCACGTCTTTCCTGGCGATTGGTGCGCGGCCTTGCGGAGAGGACACCCTCTTACTCCTGAATCCGGTGTGCTTTGGCTATATATATTGGGGCGTTGCAGCCAACACGCCGCTCTAGATCTTGACTTCGAGTTCGCATATGCACCCACTCTCGACACTGCCAGCTCCCTTGGTGGGGAGCCGGACCTCGCCAATCCCGTATCGCAGCGAGATATTGCTGCAGCTCAAGGGATGGCTTCCCAATGCAGGTAGGCACATGCCCGCCGCTGTGGAAGCAAATCATATCGCAAGGTTTCTGATGGAACCTTGCACAAAAGTCCCGTGTCGTTTGGACTGCAACTCCAACTCGGAGTCGGAGTCGGGAGAAAGCAGGCCCTCGACTGCAGCAAGGATGCCATCCTCACCGCCGTGTTGATCCCACGCTCGGCTGCGAGATGCACCCGTTGCTCCCTCTGTTCCTTTGTGTGAGATTCAACCCACATGGTGACAGGGGACGCAAACTGTTGGCTTCCCGCTCTTGGCAGGCCCCAGTGGGTCGAATATTGGCAGCGGCAAGGGGGAAGGAGTCCCTTGCCGGGCGATTTCATGATCCTAACGCCTTTGGGCGGTTAGCGCTTCTCTTCACCGTCTCTTCCGCTGCAAGCACCAGATCACGGGGTTTACAGAGTCTTCCTCTCCTGTTCCACGTTGTTGAACAAAGAGTTGTGGTTCATAGTTGTCCTTGACAACCCGGCCACGGTCCAGCACACAATCCACGAGCAGACACACTGGTGACCCAGCTGACGTTAACCGCTGAGCTGGGGCGCATTTGGTCAGAGAGTCTTGGTGGATCACGGACCCGGCTCTATAGCACACCAGGCGTGGCAGTGAGAGCTGTGCCACCTACAACTAGGCAGTCAAGTTGACTAACGTTTGGGTTGTTGGACTTTGCCTCCCGCGCTTCCGCCTTGCACATTGCTGTGAACCTGGAAGACCGCTCCTCCAGGCCAGGCATATAACGTTAGACGCTGCGAACCAACACGTGCGCTCACCGAAGCTACGGTCAGCCTCACCTACACCTTGCCTTGCCCATCTCTCATCCTGCTTCGCGGCGTATCCACTCGGGCAACAGACTCGCACTTGAACCGTGGCTTGTGCCCATTCCTGGACCACATTACACTGTTTCCTGGTCCTAGATTTCTGGTCCGGCAGTTGTGCTCGTTTCCAGAGGATTCCAAAGGTATCGATCGCCCTTACCCGTATTGGCGTCGTGCATACTAACATCCCACAGAGCAACGCCGATACGACCAAGTTAAGCAACGAGCTCTCCTGTCAGACTCTCCGTGTCGGTGACTCGAAGTGCCCAGTCACGACCACGGCAGGCAGAAGTTGGTGGGACAGCCTCGTGGTTTGTTCTTAGACACCCTGAGCCGTCGAGAGAAAAAAAGACCCGACTTGCTACAACCTCGCGCCCGGCGTTTGAAGTGACCGCAGCACGAGATTTAAACTCTTTTGAGCGAAAAACAGGGCCGTCCCGGGTGCTGAACCGCGTCATCCTCTGTATCTGGATCTTTGTGTTCTCACTTGAAGTGGCCAGGGAGAACGCAAAGGTACAGAAGGTACCTTACCTTAGATCCTTGAGCTTTCTTCAGGGTCTGCTTGTGGAAAGACCACAAAAGGGGGCTTCTCTTTGTTGCCAGATATCCCAGCTGCTCAACGACTGCTCTTTCCTAACGCTGCTAGTAACTTCCGTCTGGCCGGTGACACCGACGAACAGAGAAGGAACGAGCCGCTGCTGGTGAGACCTCTTGGCACCGTTTGGAAGCGATTAGCGTGCATTGAAGGAAAGACGTCCACGGGGGTTTGTCTCACTTCCATCGGAAGCCTCAACTACGCCAACCAATCTACCTCATCCACCTACGTTGGGCAACCATCCCCGGCTGCTAACGCGGCGCCTGTGACCGCAACTTCTCCGTCGAACCCACGACCCACGACCCACGTGCCCCCCAACAGGACTTCTGGAAGCGACAGGATTACTACACTACGTCCATTACCTTTGGCCGATTTTGAATAGAACTCGCCGAATCCGCCATTCCGACCCCGTTCCAGATCATAGACCCCGGATCCCAGCTCCCAACTCCTAGACTTGCTCCAACCGGGTACTCGCTCCGCCAGACACCGCCAGTTGCGTTCTCATCAGCATGTCTGATCCATTCGACACAAATGCGGCCGACGGTACGGCCGGGCTGCCCCTCCGGCACGTCCTGGCCAGTCTCCATTACGCCTATCCGACCGCCGTCTTCGTCTACTACATGGTCACCTCCACAATTGCCGTCTGCACCCTGCAAACCAGGGCTTCGGAACAGGCTCACCCGCGTCGCCGCGCGATCACGTGGCTCCTCATGTTTGTCATCCTCAGCTACTTTGCCCAACTTGTCATCCTGGGGGTTCAAGGGGCTGTGAGACACATGTTCCCCGTCGCCGAGCAGGATATCGTCATTGGCCTCATGTCGTGCGCCTTGGTCTTCGGAGTTGTCTTTGCTGGGCTCTCCGAGGCCCCCAATCCTGTCTGGTATCCGTACATGGGGACATTCGGGATTGCGCTGGTTGCCGAACCCGTCATTGGAACCTTGAGCATGATGGTCCGGGCTGGAGGGTCCCCCAGCTTTACCGACATCTTTGACATTTCCACCGTCGCTGCCAGATACCTTGCCGTGATCCTGGCGTTGGCCTTCTACTTTGAAGGAAGCTACAGTGCCCGGAAGGAGAAGGGCACTGATGCTGAACGCCAAAGCTTGCTCAAGACAAACGGCCATGCGGATAATCATAGCAATGGAGATCAGCCAAACGGCTACGGCGCGACCTCAGATGCGTCGACCGATGGCAATCAGTCTTCCGACTCGGACGGTTCGACTGACAGTAACCAGTCTTCTGACACGGACGACGACGAAAACCCCTATGAGAGACGTCAGCGCCAGGCGAGTGAGCAGATGGAAAAGAGGCTCAAGGAAAAAGGGAATTGGGTCACATACGCCAAAAGCTTTATGGTAAGTGGACCTGCCAGGGTTTGCACAGCATAGTCGGACTCGTCACTGATGGGTACCTTTCCAGGTTTTCTTCCCCTACATCTGGCCCGTCAACCACCGCTCGCTTCAGGTCCGTGTCGTGCTTGTGGGATTTTGTCTGCTGGCCATGAACTTCATCAACGTCCTGATTCCGCGCCAGCTGGGTATCATCATCGACACCCTTGGGGGCAAGAGCGAGGTCGAGAGGAACCCCTGGAACGAGGTTCTTTTCTTCGCCGCCCTCAAACTTGTGGCTTCGGAAGCCGGCCTCTCACTTCTACGCCAGTGGCTATGGATCCCCGTTGAGTTCTATTCATTTGGCGCCATCAGCACTGCGGCCTATTCTCACGTTCTCAACTTGTCCTCCGACTTCCACGATTCCAAGAGCTCCTCCGACATCATGATGGCCATCTCGTGCGGCCAGAGCATCTCTAACATCCTGGAGTCGATATGTTTCCGAGCCGTTCCGATGCTGATCGACATGGTCGTCGCCTTCATCTATCTCTCAGCAACCTTTGGCCCGTACGAGGGGTTCATCACCATTGCCACGGCCGCAATTTTCATGTACATTGCCACCCGCATGATTGCGGCACTCAAATCCGCTCGAAGGAACGAGGTTGGTGCCTGGTACAAAGAACACTATGTCCGCCAGGCTGGTATCCAGGGTTGGTCGACGGTCGCGAGTTTCAACCAGATCGGACACGAGGAGGACCGCTACTCAGTGGCAGTCAGCGACCGGGTGGACAAGACACAAAAAGTCTACTTTGGCTATGTCCTTGCCTACGCTTTCCAGTTCCTCGTGCTTCTCTCCGGGCTCCTCGCTGGTGCATTCTTAGCCGTGTACCAGGTCACGCATGGACAAGCCACCTCTGGTGATTTCATCATGCTCCTGACATACTGGGCTCAACTGGTTTCTCCGCTCACCTTCTTTGCTAGCCTGGGCAAGAGCATCTCGAGAGACCTGCTCCAAGCAGAGCAACTTCTTGAGATCATGCAGACCAAACCGAGTGTCCTCAGCAAGGAGGGGGCACCGCCTTTGGAGTTCACTGGCGGAAATGTCCGCTTCGACCGGGTTTGTTTCTCATACGACAAG